AAAAAATGTGATACCTAGGAACGGTTTTAACAAAAGATGTACAAGAATTTGGTAAAGAAGTTTTCAAACCTGAAAAATCTGAAGAAAAGTAAATTAACGGGAGCGTCGTGTTCCTAGATTTTAAAATGACCTAGAAGCTCGGGGCGCCTGGGTGGCTTAGTCGGTTAAGCGTCCAACTTTCGCTTAGGTCATGATCTCGCGGTTCGTGGGTTCAGGCCCCGCGTCGGGCTCTGTGCTGACGGCCAGCTCAGAGCCTGGAGCCTGTTTCAGTCTGTGACTCCCTCTCTCTCTGACCCTCCCCTGCTCACGCTGTCTCTATCTCTCTCCTAGAAATAAAAAACATTAAAAAAAAAAAAATGACCTAGAAGCTCAATGCAGTCCCAATCAAGCTCCAAGGGGATTTTTCAAACTTGATAAGGTTTTCCTAAAATTGACATGGCTAGTAGTCCACACCATCCTAGGAAGTTAAGATGGAGGGATGGGGGAATCTGTCCAACTAGATCTAAAAGCTGTTAAGCTACAGTAATTAAACTGTCATTGGAAATTTGATAAATGACAGAAGTAACTTTGGCAATCAGTGGAGGAAAGGATGGCTTTTTAAATAAATAATTCTCGGACAACTGGTTGAGCAAATAAAAGGGGAGAAAATGGCCACTTGCCTCCTATCATACACCAAAATAACATACATGTGAAAGGCAAAACTGTAACACATTTAGAAGGAAATCTAGAATATCCTTTTTACTTTGAATCAAGGAAGAATTCCTTAAACTAGACAGAAAAAACATTAAATATAAAAGACTGGTTAGTCTGCATTAAAACAGACTTCTACTCATCAAAGGAGATCATAAATTGAAAAATCAAAGAGAGGCTAACAACACATGAAACTGACCACAGATTAGTATGGTAGGCAGCCTCCAACATTGGTTACTGACCTTCCCAGCCGCCTGGTGTTCACACCCGTCTGTTGTCCCCTCCTACACTGTACCACGTTTGTTCTGCATTATCAAGTACATGGGGCAAAAGTAATGCTGTATCACGTCTGAGATTAGGTTATAAAAACTATAGCTTCTGTCTTTTTCTCTTGGATCCCTCACTGAGGGAAGCAAGATGCCATGTTCTGAGCATCCCTATGAAGAAATCCATAGTCGTAAGGGCCTCTGAGGCCAGCCAACAATCATGTGACCGACACCTTGACTGCAGGCACCTGAGAAACTGACCCAGAGTCCAGCTATGCTACACAGTAAGATAATTAGCATCCTTAATACATAAAGAATTCCCATGAATAGATATGGAAAGGTAATCAAAAACAAATGGGCAAAAGATATAAACAGGCTTTTCACTGAAAATGCAAAATATTTTTAACTTCATCAGTAAACAGGGAAAAGCAAATTAAAAATACATACCATTTTCATCCACTGAACTGACAAAAACTGGTCAGGATATGGAGCCTAAGTAACCTTGATATGCAAGTTGTAGATGTGTAGAACTGTTACAATCACTGTGAAGGAAAAATGTGGCATTTTTTTTAAAACTGAAAATAAATATATCCCACAAACTAGCAATACAGAACTCTTGTATCACTAAATATACTAAGAATGTACATAGCAGCATTGTTTATGCAAGCAAAATTCAGGACATAGCCCAACTGTCCATCAAGAAGATGGATAAATTGTGTATTCATTTAATACTATACACACTACAATGAACTATGTATTAACATGGATAAATCTTAGTGAGTGAATCACTCAGAATAAATCTGAGTGAGAAAGCAAGTCTCAGAAGATACCATGCAATATTCAAAATACTTAAATGTTAATATATAATTCATATACAAACCAACAATAGAGGTTAATGTGCAAATCAGGAAAATAAACTCTTTTATTATTGAGAAAGAGACAGAGTGCAAGCAGGAGAGGATCAGTGAGAGAGGGAGACACACAACCTGAGGCAGGCTCCAAGGCTCCTAAATGTCCGCAGAGCCTGACGCGGGCCTCAGACTCACCAACCTTGCGATCACGACCTGAGCTGAAGTTGGACCAGCAACCAATGAGCCTCCCAGGGACCCCAATCTTTTTATTCTTTAAATAACTATACAATAAAACTACCAAGTGATGAAAGCAGCACAAATCATTCAGCCATCACTAATAACTTCCAAATCATTTGTTTCAACAATTGGCTCGGTAGAATTTTTTGACATAGCTCTCACCAGCCAAATGATGCCCTCATATAGGACTGCAAACTCTTCAAAGACCTTCCCCCATTCATTTGGTAGTCATTAATTAACTAATATGCTGTTTGGCACCTGAAGAGAAGAAACATGCAGCTGATCCCCATCTTACCTTATCGGACAGGATAGTACCATCTGGGTGCTGGTAACATGCCAAGAGCTAGTGGTAGGAGCTCCCAACTAGAGAAAGGATGAGGGGGCAGGGTTAATTGGGTGGGATTGATGATCTTGGTTGCCGGAACCGGAAACTTGAGTTTCTGTCTCATTCCATACCTGAAACTGCCCCCTCCTCCCACATCGACCAACCAAGAAATAATCAATGACAGGTTGCATGAGCAGCTTGGTCAGGCCAAGGAGGGTGAACCTGTAGAGATGGAGAGGGCAGACAAACAGAATAGTCCTGTCTGAAGATCAGCCAAGGAAAGAGGGGGAAGAAAAGAGCAGGAGCTGTGTTATCACTTGCTTCAGAGCGTACTCTTCTGGGTAGGAGAATCCTGGACAAGTCACTCGCCTCATGCCTCGTCAGTGCACAAGGCAGCCCACCCTCCACCACAGAACAAGTTGCCAAAATGTCAAAAATCCATCTAAAGGGCCATTACTGCACCAAAGGGGCTATGTCCCTAAACATCTGTGCCTCCCCACACTCCCTCCCGATCTTCCCAGCTGCATCCAGAGGTTAGACACATCTTGCCCTCGGGCAGGATGAGGCATTTCTCTGGGAGGATGAACAGAAGAGATGCTCTTTAGCTTCATTGCCCAGGTTCCTCTCCCACTCAAGGGTTTACAAAACTAGAGAAGATTCCCCAGCACTTGAAGTAACAGTATATCTACTCTAAGTCCTTCAGCTTTGTCCCCAGTGCTCAAACCAGAAATGTGGCACAAACTATCATGTGTGGTTTTTGAGATAAACTACATGTACTGGAACTTATATTCGTTTTACTAGTTTCTGGAATTAGCGTTTACCAATATGTAAACATTTCAGTATTTGACATTAACTATGGTGATACTAGTGCTGCAGTACTGAATATTGGCCTGTGCAGACAGAGTATGACAACTCTTTATGCAAAGACATGGAAACTAATCAGGTTTTGAAAAAATACCCCTGTGGTAAAACTAAGAAAAACTGAGAAATTCAGGACAGTGGTTATCCTTGAAGGAGAAGCAGCAGGTAATTTTCTACCTGAGTGACAGATTTACATTATCTATGGTTCATAACATACACATATTTTCCACAAGTTTTCCTCAGGGTTGACATTCTGGGTTTACGGAGTCAGCTTCAGTGCAAGCTCCCATTTTCTGCAACAATGCGTTCACCGTCTCACAAGAAATCCTGTCAAAGGCTGAAACTGTGCTGAAATCAAGACATTTTTTTTTAAACCTTTTTTTTTTTAAATATTTTTATTTATTTCTGAGAGAGAGAGAGAGAGACAGCGTGAGCAGGGGAGGGTCGGAGAGAGAGGGAGATACAGACTCTGAAATAGGCTCCAGGCTCTGAGTTGGCAGTCAGCACAGAGCCCGACGCGGGGCTCGAACCCACGAACCGCGAGATCATGACCTAAGTGAAAGTCGGAGGCTTAACCGACTAAGCCACCCAGGCGCCCCTGAAATCAAGACATTTATGTCCGTTGAGTTTCCCAGTTGTAACTAAAGGAATGAGGTTAATTTAATGTGGTTTGTTCTTAGGATCTAGGTCAGTTGCCCATCACGTTTTCTCCTAAATGCTGACAAAACTGTCAAGTACTTTTAAGAGTTGTCAAACTTCTCAGAATTTACTCACCTTTTGTATTCTTCCCATCTCTAATCTTCTGGCACCTCTTCTATTTTCTGTAGCTTCTCACTCACAGTAACTATACTCAGGAATGGATTTGACCCCAGGTATATAAGCTCACTGAAATAGGCTTGGTGTTTCTTTAGCATTTTTTCATCTAAACTAATAGCTTCTCACAAAGAAAATCTATCCTTACCAACAAGTCTGGAGATCATTTTCCTCTTTAGATTGTTACAGGGATGTTATCTTTCCCTAGCAAGTTGGACTTGACTTCCCTGATCTCAGTTCAGATATAAAAGCCCTTTTCATTGTTTTGAGTTTTTGTTGTTGACACTGTTTTCCTGCTACTTCCAAGCTTGGCATGGATCTCTATTAATTGCTACAACTGCATCCCCTCCTTTTTCAGGATCAACCCTCAGTTTTATTCTCTTTTGGGGCTTCTATAAGCTAATAATCATAGTCTAGAAGCAAATAGTCATATTTGCCCCTTTAAAAAGCTAACTCTTCAGAAATTAAGACTACCACAAACAAGATGTCACACTAATTGTGGCAAACAATGACTTCCCATGCTTTGAAAGGCAAGGAGGACCAGGAATTCAAGCAGAAATACGGTAAATGCAATCAAGCATGTGGGGGAGACTGAGGTATGTGGCAAAGAGTCACTTCTTACAGATGCAGAGGAGATGTTTTAAAAGGAAAGTCTGTACAACACAGCCAGAGTCGAATAAAGATAAATAATCCAAACTACCACACTCAATTTAAATTTACAGAAACAGGTTTTTTTCTGTTTGTTTGTTTTACCTTTAGGAAAGCTTGAAAGAAACTAAAACTAAAATAAAATTTCCAAAACTGCTTTGCAAAAAACATCACTCAACATAGATGCTGGTTCCACTTACGGAGCTTGTCATCTACTCTGTATCATCAGGCATTTAGCACACCCAAGAACAAAATCATGACATCTTTAGTTCACGCAGGAATAAGAGATAACACACTATACACCTTAACTGACCATGAAAAGATTGTTTTATTCCATGAAAATATTCTCAACAGAGAACACTATCTTAAACAAAGCATTTACCATTAAGAAATCAACATGTGCACAAAAAGAGTAAAAATTACTGAAAAATTAAAGATTTCTTTTGGACAATTCACATGTTCAAAATTTAAGAATGATTTAAGAATGATTTAAACTGTGCAAGTACAAACGTCTGTCCTATTGTAATAACTCATGTACAGGTTGCACTATTCCACGTGAAGGACCTTGCCTCCCACGGAAGCAAATCCTGCTTTGAGAAAAACAAACAGTAGCCTGAAAAGAACAGTTAGTCCTTATAAGAAAGCCTTAAACTTTGCCCTCTCTGGCCGTCAGCCAGAAAAACACAAGCACTTCAGGCTTTGTACAGAGGACAAACACAGCCAGATCACATTTCCTCCTCACTGCTAACCTTTAAAATAAAAATAGCACTAGGTTTTAAAACTACTTTATGTAGTCTGTCAGTATTGAATAATGTCACATTATATAAATAACCCTGTAAAGAGATTCAAAATCTAAACTTCATAGTTTACTAGCCTCAAAGGTAATACACTGTATGTCAGCCGTGTAACAGGGGTGCACTTGATCTTATGAAGGCATTAACCTTCACACAATTGTCATTCAGCTTTAGTATAACTGGTAGTAAGTAGGATTCAAATAACACTGGGAAAAAATTATTAAAGCAGTCGCACAGCTTCTAAAATATTGCTTAAAATCCAATAATACACAGACCCATTTCACGTTCTTTCTTCCCTCAAAAAGTAAAGAACAAAATTAATGAAGCTTCTGTGGTACAAAGATCCCCCCACCCAAGGCCATCCCCCTATTAAACACCACTAAGAAATTAGTTAAGATACAAGTCATTAACAGAATCACAAATGCGAGGCAGGACAACATAAGCAACAGGCGCACTAACAACAATTATATTTACAAGTATAAACATACAGGAATTTCCATTGTACAAGTAAAAGTGCACATAGATCATTACAAAGTTTCACTAAATTTCATCCGGTTCAAACAAAAGCATCACTTGGAAACAGACTATCATTTTAATAATAAGAACATGGTCACCCCAAATTAAAACACAACGGGGAAGGGAGGAGAGTCCATAAAACTTCTCATAAAAACACTGAGTAAAGTAAAATGGACCTGGACATGTCTTTAGTCTGATGCATAAATTTGAAGATGCACCATCAAACATGGTAGAGCTCTAAAAGCCACCTACCGAGGCTACATTGGCATCTGCGGCAGCGCTGCCGAGTTAAAGGAGGTCGCACTGAGCTGACACATAAAGCCCTTCGTGGGATACTGTAGTGGTAGTGTTGGCAATCAACAGATTTAGGCACTCTAGTTTAAGGCAGCATTTGAATGGAAGCAGCTGACTTCTGACAACAGTCCTTTGTCTTGAGGTGGTGAGTATCTTGTGTGTTTATTATGCCAGGATTTCAGTGCTGACTATAGATTCTTCTCAGACTGAGGTGAAGATGGATCACGTTTCAGAGTTCTTTAAACCGGGCTGCAGGCTAGAGCAGAGATGTTTTCTTTTTCTTATCACAGATACTTCAGGTTCACAAACTACTTCTTCATAATGCCAAAACTGGAATGTTTGTAGTGGGGAAGTTATAGCAGCAAACACAAATACTAGGATGGAAACATTAGTGCTTGGAGATGTCTGACAAAGTGACTTGCACTACAGATGTAAAACAAAACAAAGGCTTTGACAAGAACAAGGGATTATAAAGACATGCCTGAAAAAAATCTAGCCCAATCACTCTAGACATGCAACGGAATGTTAAGCAAGCACATAGGTGGCGCAGGCAGACACTGACAAATGGCAAGGGTTCTGACAGACAACGGGTCTAAAAGCCAATTAGAACAGAGCTGGGGAAGACAGTCCTTTTGGGACAAAGAGAAGACAAATTTAATGAGAGCTCTGCATTCTTTCTGATTTAGACATCAGTAAAAGAAATGGAAAAAAAAGTTAGGCATTTTTGGCTTTTTTTCCCCTTATGTGAATAACTGCAAATGAGGAATTTAAGGATTGAATTGCAATGGTTTTTAAAACAATGTATGGAAATGATAATGAAGTTAGTAAAAAAAAAAAAAAAAATGTCTGCATGCACTCATGCAACTTGCTTCTCTCTCTCTGTTTGAGCCTGACAACTCTAACACCCTCCCCCTAAAAGCAGCTGCATGTAACCTCCTTCAACATCTTGCCCATTTCCTCAGAAACCCTCTTCAGGAACCTGTAGTCCAGGAGGAAAAAGAAAAGAACAATTACTGAAGACCTTTGGTAAGACCAAAAGGGGTGTTCAGTTTAAAGTGTCTGTCCCAAAAGGCTCTAAAATTATTTTACAGTCAGCTATGTGAGAACACCAGAAAAACCTGGGACATGAGCAAAATTAAAGACCAGTCTTTTAATTGCTTCTCACTTTACTTCCCCACATGACCACCAGCACTGCACAATCCTTAATTGTATAGTATTTCCGACAAATGCTTGTTGAAATTAATTGGAAAAAAATAATCTTGAATCGATGATTCAGCTAAAATGAGGAAATGCCCTAAATGGTGATAGAGTCCTCCAACCCAGTCAAAAATTTTCTTTTCAAAGTGAAACGCACAAGGACTTCCCTTCCAGATTTCCTCTCACTGCACCTAGAATTTATTTGCCTATGTATAATTGCCAAATGCTAAATAATTACTAAAGTGGTATTTCCCAAAAGACATATTCAAGATGAAAAATACAGGCATTAATTTGGAAGGAAGGTTATACATTACTAGAAATTAGTAGTATAACAGATGGAAATATTTTCAGGTCTCAGAAAAAAATCATTTTATCCACCTAAGAGCTAGACCACGCTGATTTATTTTGCAGGTCTCTTGATTAGCCTACTACTAAAATAGATTTATGTTTGAGGTGCTTGTTTTCTTCCTTTTGGAAACCATGTGAAGAATAGGGAGGAAAAGTGAAAGCGATTGTATTTCTTATTTTTTCAATTAGTCAACTATGATTTTTCTTCCTAAAAACTGTTGCTACAAAAACTCAAACTCCTGGGGCACCTGGGTGGGCTCAGTCAGTTAAGGGTCCAACTTTAGCTCAGGTCACGATCTCACACTCTGTGAGTTCGAGCCCCATGTCGGGCTCTGTGCTGATAGCTCAGAGCCTGGAGCCTGCTTTGGATTGTGTGTCTCCCCCCCACCCCCACCCTGCAAAATAAATGTTAAAAAAGAAAAAAAAAACCTCAAACCCCTATGCCAAATCACTCTTTTGAGAGTCCACTTTCTATAGCATTTCAGAGCAGTTTTACTTATTTATGATTCACTACAGTCACTGTGTTTTCAGAAGCAAAGTGTGTGTTGGGTGAAAGGGGCTTTCTATCTATGGATTCCTGCCCAAAATATCAAATTCTCTAACTTATAAGGCAGAAAAGCACAAATCTTTCACAGAGACTTAAGCAGGACATAAAGCAAAAGGCATCAATTAAGCTTCACACCAACATCACTCACATAGTAAAACATCATGAGAACGGTTTCTTGTGGGAATAGTCACATCTTTAAGATAGAGCCTACACTCAGCTCACATAGTGAACAATGTTATCTTGGATGCCCTTTAAGTTTTCTTATGTTTTCCCACCCGTTGAATGTGTTTCCGTTTTCCGTTATCGTTCCTATGTCATACATGTCACAAAGCTGCCTGGTTAGTTTAGATGTAAGTTACTGCACCTTTACTGTTTTTCTCTAGAGTTACATCTATGTATGATGTGGGAACGTAGCCTTCTTCTCCGTTCTGCCTCCGAGCTCTTGTCCAGCCATCACCTTTGTCTTCCTCAATAATGTATAGAACTTCACCTTCTTTCATTGCCAGGGTACCTTCATTATGTCCTAAATGAGAGTTTTCATAGCACAAGCATTAATTATAGCGAGAACTGAGTAAAGGTTACAAATACAACACAAAACAACATGAAACTCTACTAGATTCAACATACCTAGAACCAAGAGCCCATTGACTCTTATTAGCAACAGCTCTATGATGCTTTTGTAGTTTATCCAACACTTTCATATATAACATGACCTCACTGGAACTGGACAATAGCTCTGGGAAACTGGCATTATTAGTATTACCACCATATAACAGATGAAGTATCTGATCTACAATGACATAATATGATTTGACAGGATATTGTAACTCCTATTTCACTTCTCCAACTCTTTTCCTAAATTTGAGTGGCATTGCTATCTGGAAAATTCATGACCTGTGGATCAGGAACATATTAAGACTGTGAGAGAGTGGAAAGAAAGAAGGAAAGAATATGGTTTTGAGAGAGAGCAAAGGAAAACACAGGTTCAACTCTGGTGATGGTGGAAGCAGAATAGTCACAGCCACAAAGCACAAACTTCCTTCAAAACGTCACAAACCTCAGGACTCCCTTTCTTCCCCATGGCCAACCACTCCCAACCCACTTAGCAGTAACAGTTTTCACAAATCAATCTTCATTTAACATATGCTAAATTCTCCAGGTTACATTATGGCAAGCCCTTATTCAGCATTTTTTCCTCAGAATGAGGAGTAATTAAAAACTTTACTCAACTTTAAAACTAATACAATGGATGGGTGGGGAAGGACCTTAAGTCATATGCCATTTTATAACAACTTATTTGTGAAAGTGTTACTCTGCTCCTGAGAATTGAGGAAAAGGATTTTTCACAGTCCATGAGCAGAAAAAGTAACTAAAAATCTGCAAGAGAGAACAACATGTCTTCCTTGCCTCACAGAGATTGTTCCCCACCTATCACAGGGGAAGGACGGCATAGTCAGAAGCTCCACATTCTCTCCTTTTCTCACTGGAAAATACGACCTACAGAGTCAAGATAAAGTAGGGACATTCAGCTATGCCACCTGTCTTGTACCTTTCTCTCAATGTCAGCAAGTTATACGGAAGAGCTTAGGGTAGCATCCACTAGCTTTCTACTTCCTAGGTTCTGAGCCACCTGCTCAAGCTGCTTCAACTTCGGTGATTATATGCAGCATTAGTAAGATCTCTGGGAAAATTAAATTCTGTATTGACCAAAGCTGGTAGTCAAATAAAAATCTGTACTAGGATGCTGATAACACAGGTAATTTTCTTTCAGTGTCATGTACAGAAGAAAAACCTCTATTTGTAATACAGTTACAACAAAAATATTCATACTAATGAGCTGGAATTATAATTTTCTGACAATGTATTATTTAGCTAAGGACACCTAAGTGCATGATTCAATGTATGCAGATTTTAAGGTTATCAGATACAAAAGAAAATCATACCATCAAAAGGGTAGATAGCTTTGCAGTGTCCAATAGCAGGCAAGGGATCGTCATCTTCAAATTCATCATCAAATTCATTATGATGACCATGTTGTTGGGGTGGCCCACGGACTTCTTGGTTTGCATCATCAGTGTAACTTCCCTCAGGACTATAAAACATAGAAGTTTATCTCATAGAGTATAACAAAGGTGGCAACTTTTAACACTATCTGCAGGCTGATCTCAGGGTCAATTCAGAGAACTAAATATCAATGATACAGTTCCAAATTAAGCCTTTAATTTCTAAAATGTTGTTGATATATATAAATTGCCTGCAATACAAAATGCTTTTTGTTGAATTTCCTGAAACTAAAAAATTACAATGTTCTAGGCATATGGTATGCATTCAACAAATAGCTCTATCATTGGGTCCAGAGATAAAATGGAGAAATACAGGTAACACTTGCCTTTCATCATCCCAGATTTATCACCTCCTCTTTTGGCAAAAGAACCCTAACGTTCCATGGGAGACCCACCCAGACCCATGGTCAGTTCAAAGGCTTCCTGGGGAGTTCTGTCCTGGCTCCAGAGGGCCTGAGTACAGCACTTGTGTGGTAAGAGTGAATAGTTAACAAGTAGGCTTATAACCTGATCAGATAAAACAGACCCACAGAGCCTTTTCCTTAGGACTGAAGAGAAGCTCCCTCCCTTCCTTCTCTACTGGACTTGGACCTAGAGAAAGATGAGCCCAGTGCTTTGGAAGATCATATGAAGCCTTCGAATGAGGCCAACATAGTAGAAGGTAGAACTGTGAGGTAGAAAGAAACAGTCCTGAGGAGACCATCTGAGCTCCTAAGATCAAGCTTTCCCTAAAGCAAGCCAATAAAATCCCTTTAGTTTAAGCCAGTATGGGTATTTATTGTCACTGAAAGCAAAAAGACTCCTAATAAAGTTAACTTTCTATTAATCATGCTAACAGGGAAGTTAGTAAAACTCAGAAAATAAAGAGCAGGTAACCCACAGGCATTTTTTTCCCTTAAATTTTTTTTAAGTCTGAAAGAAAAATATTAATTTTGCTAAAAAATCAAATGACTGAATAAGCTAATGGAAAATCTGTATGATTAGAAATTAAAAGCACTTTTAGTATGTCTAAAAGCCATGTTCTTAAATAATACAAACCAGAGAGATTAAATTACTTTAGGTTTTACCTAGTAACAAAACCATTATTTGTGGGTTTCTCTTGACACACAGGTACTCTTTCAAAAAGTGGTAAGACTTTGAGAAGGAAGAACTAACATTTCTCAAGCACATACTGTTCCCAGGCATTTTATTATGAGGTGCTCTATGGACATTACTTCATTTATTACTAATAATTAGGTATTTTATTTTTCTATTTATTTTAAAGTTTATGTATTTTTGAGAGAGAGAACAGGGGGAAGGAATCCTAAGCATGCTCTGTGCTGTCAGTGTGGAGCCCAATGTGGGGCTGATCTCACGAAATGTTAATAAGTTCATGACCTGAGCTGAAATCAAGAGTTGGGCGGATGCTTAACCGACTGAGCTACCCAGGCATCCCTGTATGATAGATATTTTAATCTTTTTATTTTAGGAAACTGGGACTCAGAGATCATTAAAAATGAACTTGTTCAAATTACACTGTAATTAAGTAGTAGCCAAGATTTAATACTAGATCTCTCAAATTTTCTCTAAGGAGAATCCTAATTTGTTAGATCTTAGTGGGGGCAGAATGGGGAAAGACATAAACACAGAGGAGGAAATTGTCACAAATGGTATGAAAGCATGAAAACTTAGCAAAATGCCTTTTGGAAGCTCTGATTCAAACTAACAATATTGTTTCTTCCTTCACAAAACTTTGAGCAACTTAACAGTTAAATTTTTCTTTGGCATTAGCCATCCAACTCCATCTAAACCTTAAGGGAATCTTCCCAGGTCTGAGGAGCCTATGCCTTCTGACAGTAGCTCCATAATTTCCTATTTTCACACCTTTGTTTTTGGATGCATGACAAACTAGAACTAATCATCAAAGAACTACTATAAAGAAACAGAAAATCAGTTAGGTTCATAAGACTAACGCTATTAAAGGCCAAACCCATTACACCAAGGAAGAAGAAAAAGAACTGTATGAAATTTAGAACAAAAAAGTGAAAAAAGTTTGAGGGGGGAAAAAAATACAAACAAAATGCAAAGAGTGACCTTTCTCGTCCCTGTGTTACAAGATGATTTATGTCACTGCTATGTCTTCTGTCTCCTCTCCCACCTGTTTTGCCTTCAACTTCAGAGAGCCAAGCCTTAGGAAAAAAATAAATAAAACTGAGCTCAGTTAAGTATTTTTAAAGCTGAAAAGATAGTCTACATTTAAAATGTGCACTGAGTTTTTATAATTATGTAACTCTTAGAGAAGGGAAACCTTTATTCCAGTTTGACCGATGATCAACTTATAGCTGATAAGCATAAATATTCAGTTTTACACTTGATCTTAGTCATAAGGTCGAGAAGCGATAAAATAAATGTTTAGTTTTAAATAAAGTTTTAATTAAAAAGAAAAACTTGAATAAGGGGCTAATTCTAAAGATTATAGACCAAAATCATTTCTTTCTTTCAGATCATAATCCTAAAATTAAATTTTTGAAGATAAAATTGTAGCAAAAAAATCAATCTATCATAATGAAGTTTATACAAATGAATTTGTCTTAGACAACTGCAAAGTAACAAACCTACCTCATTCTTGTGGATTTCCATTCGAAGGCGGTCAATGTTATTCATCGTCTCTGCTAATTTAGGCTGCAAACTCCCTGGATCCCCCATTTGTGGATTTTTCTCATACACATCTTTCATTTTGTTGAGTGCTTCTCTGAAAATGAGAAGGAAGTCACAAAATTAAATATTCACTTCATGTTCCCAGATAAAAGAGTTTCATTTGATTTGATTTCATTTCATTTGATTCTGGGGGCTCTCATGTAGCCTAATCTTAAGAGAGTAATAATATCTCTTTAAATATAGTCTAACATTACCTGCTTAAAGATAACGTGTATAAAGATGATAATGTATACAGTGAGCAATTTATGGAGACAGTCTTAAAACATTTGGAATAAAAAAAGAGATTTCTCATTTCCTACTTCTCATTTATGAGATTTTATATATGTAATATATATGCATATATTATATATATGTATATATATGTATGTGTCTTTGTATATATATATAGGTTTAATCAAGAACTAGAAGAATACTACTCATAATATTCTTAAACTCATCATGTCCCAAACCAAATTCATTATATTCCCCCATAGACATACATTCCCCCTTAGTTCACAGCATCCTTGTCCTCCCACTCATCCATGCTAGAAAGAGGAATGAATTTTTAACCTGACCCTCTCCCAGTTCATTCATCTCTTAATTTCTCTAATCATATCACTGTAGGTTATACCTCCATCAGCACTCTGACTTCCTCTAATATCTGACATTATTGACTAACACTCTTTTCCTTCTTAATTTCCTAGAGGTTACATTTTCTTCTCCTTTCTCCTCACTTCTACGGTCTCATAATCTCCCTCACTGGTTCTTTCTCAACTTCTGCTCATCCTTTAAATGTGTGCTACATAAAATGACAGGTTTCTTCTCATCTCATCTTATATTTTTTAAAAATTATCCCTTCTTGTTCTTTCTAGTTTTACTGAAATATAACTATTTCCACTCTTTTAAAATCACCTATCTTTAGATGATTCTCAAATATCTCAAGTCTTCTCTCTTTTCTAAGTTCTAGACACTCTGAACAAGTATCCTTTTTGTCGTCCATCTAGTGCCATGTTTTTAAAATTTTGTGCTCTTTGTTGATTTTTCTTTTTAAAATAAGCTCCTAAGTGTAGTGCTGAAGTATTGTCTAGTGTTTCTAAGTGCAAGAAGGCTGTGAGGTGCCTTATGGAAAAAATACAAGTAGTTAGATAGGCTTTTGTTCAGGCATGAGTTACAGTGCTATTGGCCCTGAGTTCAAAGTTAATCAATCAACTATATTAAATAATGAGTCTTCAAACAGAAACACATATAAAACATGGTTATAATTGATCAGTTGATGAAAATGTTGTGGCCAGAAGCTAAATGGAGCCTAAACCTATATTTTCCATTTCAGTCTTCACGAATTCAGTGTCCATAATAACTTTATAGAACACAACTACCACAAATGATGAAAATTATTACAGTATTTCATTTATAATTAAACATCCCATTATATCTGATGTTTAATTCTTAACATCAAAATTTCAGTCACTTCTACACCTGAAACTAATGTGACATTGTGTGTCAACTATACTTCAAGAAAAAGAAAAAAACACACACAAAATCTGGAGCAAAGCTGCCTGAGCTGCAAAAAAACAAAAATAAAACCCCCAAATACTTTCAATCACTCATTCCAGAGTTTAAGCTCCAATTTTATCTTCAGTGTAAAAGCAAATAGTAGTAGGACACCAATTCACTGTAATGACCCTTTATTCATCTCTGTTCATTAAAACTAAACTGAACCAAAGGAAACTCTTTATAAAACTGAAAAAAAAATTACAGCAATGAGTCAATGAATCTGAAGCTAAAAGTAATCAAATACTATATGCCAACTTGCTGCAAACAAAAATAATTATAGCCTTAGGTTTCTACGGAGTTCAATTTATGTATCAAAGCAAAATGAAATGTGTCAAGGTGTAAGAGATGGTTAGTGTTGGTGAAACTACTCTTGATAATGAACCACCAAACTATTTTGCAATACTGGGAAGTGGGGGGGCATGGACTATTATCATCCAATAAGTAAACTGAAACCTAAGAAACTAACATTACATTTTTATTTATAACACAGGAATGATAAAACTTTCCAAAGTTTAGGAGTGTATTTTTCCCTCAAAAGATAGGATTTCTTAAAATCTTTTATACAGCACATTTATTAAACACATCATTCAAAGGAGACCCTGAAAGGAGTAAAAAAGACTTAACAGAAGAATACTTTTGGTCTGATTCTTTTTGTAGTTCTCTGTTAAGTTCATCGATGCGTTGCTGTAGTTTTTTACGTCTCTGTTCTGGTGGCAGATGACTGAAATCTTCCAGTGCAGGGCCCTGAAAAGAGAATCTAAATTATAAAAGACATCTTCAGGAAATTTTCTTTTTTAAATATACTCGCTATAAAATAAAAATACACATCAATTTTAATGTAAAATTAGCCCCAAACAACCCCTTTTAAGAAGAAATCTACACAGATATGTGTATGTAAATTAAAACAACTATATTGAACAAAGCTTGAATTTCAGTCAGTTTATGAAATCATGAACTAGGAACAGGTAAAAATATAACCAGATAAAGAAAACCGGTAATGACCACTATCACATCATTTTCAGGTCTTGGCAATTAAAATAAATACATATGAACCTTCTTACAGCAACAACAACAAAATGGAAACACATAACATTTCTCACCTATACAAATTACTATTCTTTATACATCACCACATTCCCCAATCAAATACTGCGAATGTTCAGACCATTAATATGAAAAGCTTATACAAATAAGTAGGCAACTTACCTCATAGAGATAATCTAATTGGTGAAATATATTTTAATATTGCATAGTCTCTGAATGATCACATTTATTAAACCACTCTTTAGAACCAAAACATACCTGATTATTAAAAAACAAAAGGTAAAACTATCCACTGTGTGATGTGAAAGTAGAAATTATTCTAGTAAGGACTTTACTTTCAATTATCCTTTTGTACAATCAAATAACATACCACAGTTATTCCCAAAAGAAAGATAAAATCCAAAGAAAGATGTGATCCTTCTTTAGGAAAGATGCTTCATGTTTGAAATTTTTTTATGTTTTAATATTCAAGAAACTGTATCATTTAAGAAAAAGTACTAGTATTTAGGTGTAAACTTCTGATTCAAATTATGTCTTTCACATCTTGAATGTTAATAATGTCACTCTTATTAGAGGTTACACAACAGAGCCAATATTAGCAACTATTGATTCTATTTATTATACATCCATATTTATTAAGTTTTGATATATTCCAAAAATTGATAACACATATCACTCTTCATTTTTCTTTCTAAGATGGTGATTTGAAGAATATGCCAGTTCAATTTTTAAAATATTGTTGAATTGAAACGCATCCTTGCTCTTTCAGCCATTTATGCCTATAACATGCTTAGTAACTTTATTTCACCATCTCTAAGAATGTTTCCCTGACTTTTAAAAAAGAAAAAACTCACTTTTAGAATGGAGCCATGATCAAAGGTTAACATTTAATTAGTAACAGAATCTCCAGAATTTTCCCCAAGTGGCCTATACATTATGGATATTCAACCAGCTCACCTTAACAAAAAGTAGGGCATTTGTCTAAGTGGCTTTTGTTTTTTAGTCTACCAAGTACCAGAAATAATAAAATGTCAATCACCAAATCTGACCTAAATAAATGAATGGCAGAATATCCTACGCAAGGTGCCTTTAAATTTAGTGGTCAATTATTAATATAAGTTGTCACATTTAATCTAATTTCAGATAGAAGTTTTGAAAAGTATTATATATGTGCCAAAGATAAAAACCTTTAATCTATATATTTTTAAATATTTCTTAAAATTATCTAATGAAATAAAGAAATATATTTCAACGTGAGGGGGTCTTTTTTGTAGTATTACAATAAACTCACAACTACCTGTAAGTAAACCTGCCTGATTACCACTTATCTCTAATCAAACCCTGTTCTCAAATTTATTAACAGTAGATATGAAGGCATTTCTAATATCTCACTTTGACATGACCTCTGAGGTATTTATTAACAAACCTCTCCTACTACAAGGGAATACATTTATAAAAGGCTAAACTGCAAGTCTGAAAAAAACTGGTCTGGAAGAGAATGGTCTATTTTCTAAAAATAAGTAACTATGCAAGCACTCAATGATTTGGGGTTTAGGTCTTCACAATGTAGTTCCATTAATGTGTCTGAAATGTATAAAGGATCATCTCAATCACACACACAACACACTCACATACAACTGCACACACATACAATAATATTTAGGCTATGTGTGCTTTTATTCCCATTCAGTACTACAGAAGAAAGCATTGACTCTAATGAAATTAGTAGGAAATTTTCTTTCTTACTGTTTTGAAAATATAATGATTCTTGGGATAAACTACTAATAAAATGTATACAATCTTTTTCAAAGACATTAAGAAAAATCATTTTTAATTTTCCTTGTGTAAAAACATGAATTTTTGTTCTAGTATGTAACTTAATGATTAATTGTAATTTTATGCTCTGTAACATGACAAGACTCCAGTCAATAACATTTAGGGACTTAATAGGGTGACTAAAGTTAACTACACATTATTAGAATATTATGACATCAATAGGTACTGAATATGTCAGACTATGGATTAAATTATAAAAAGAAAAGACACATACAAGGTGAAAATGTGGGGTTGTACTTTAATACTTACTTTGAATTAAAAAAACAACAACAACAATGTTTTGAGAGGCACCTGGGTGGCTCAGTCAGTTAAGTGTCTGACTCGATTTCAGCTCAGGTCATGAACTCATGGTTTGGGAGTTTGAACCCCACGGCTCTGTACTAGCATGGAGCCTGCTTGGAATCCTCTGTCTCCCTATCTGCCCCTCCCCAGCTCATGCTCTCTCTCTCTCAGAATAAACTTATATTAAAAAAACAAAAACAAAAACAATGTTTTGAGACTATTTAATGTTGGCACAGTATATAGATCAGCACATAAGGCTTACCATCTTCACCGACCACTGAATAGTTCAATGGAAAACAGAAAGAAATGGTAAATTATTCACATGAAATCATAATACAGAAGATGCAATAGCTTATACTTTTTACAATATTAAAATAAATCATGAACATTTCACAATCCAAACAATTATGCCAGAAAAACCATTTTAAGCACAGTTTGGGGAAAGTAAATTACTTGCAAAAAAAAAAAAAAAATACACTGATGATAATGGGCAGATATTTTCTAAATGCAACGAAAACTTAAAAGTAAATAAAAATCACTTATCAATAATCATTTTCTTTAAAAGAGAAATTTTCCAAAAGTGGATTTTATTTATACAGCCCTTCATTCTCAAAATACTAATATTTGAAGAGCTGAATATAAAGAACTAATATTAGCCATTAAAAAAATCTTATATGAAGTATTAAAAAAAATGAAAAATTCTTCTCAGTGCATTAAGGAAAACACCATCACAGGAACTGCTATAATTCAAAATACTTTTTTGAATTTAAATGTCAAGGGTAGCTAAGGGTAGCATTTCTACTTTAGTTTTAAGGTTTTTAAAAAAATGTACAGACACATTAGAGACACATTATCAAAACAATGAGTCACCCAGATTCGAGTTTCCCATACATATTTCCTAATAGACACAAATACATGGGTTGAATGTTGCTCTGAAAACATAGCACTTAATTTTCAGTTTTTATTCTGAAATCCATATGCTCAATAAGCAACACTAAAAATATAATGTCAATTTTTAGAAAACTGGCTAAAAGTTTTCTTTCTCAAAATATAAAAGGATATATAGCCAGAGTGCTCTCATGTATATACATATACACCTCACATTAAGTGGGTCAGCAGGGCTCAGCAACTGGCATTGCATCTACCAAGCATCCCAAGTAAACACACATGTGCACACATATGTGCACGTGTGTGTGCATACACGCACGCACGCACGCACACACACACACACCCCTTGTGGCCTGTACTATGCAATTCAGTTTTACAAAGTTAATCTTCTGTTAATCTTCATTCATTCATGGTTCGCAACCTGTAAAATTTTTATTTTTTCCTGTTTTCTAAATTATGATGTTTTAGAGAAGGGGGGGTGTCAGGTAGAAGAATTTCACATAAAAAATATGAACTTTTATAAATAACTGACAAAAATATCTACCCTTTATCTCCAATGAATTGGCTATATATATTAATGGTTATGATGATAAGAAAGATGACATTTGCTATCCATTAGCTTTCGAATTAAGCTTAACATTCTTTAGACTGTCAGTAGCTTCAGGGAACAAAAAGCACAACTTATTTCAGTATCACAAAATTCCTAATAAAATGATTAAAAAGTTTAAATTTTAAAAAGATATTCATGGTCTTCTTTAATATTATTAAAACAAAATTCTATAGAGCACAAGAAAAAATATGTAAAGTATTTGAATTTATCTTTTCTAATTTTCTCCAGCTAAATTTCTAGGTGAAATAAAAATTATTTTTCCAGTTTCTATATTAATATGCTTCAGAGAAAACATTAAGATAATTATAACTAAAATATCAAATGGTTCCGTTTTTAGTTAATCTAGTTTTATATCAATTAGAAAATTTATAGTACATTAACCTTAGATTTGGGGATACAAAAACTCAAGTTCTTTGTAAAATATTTTTAAAAAATTCAAGTATCTTTTAAGTAAATAATGTTCAATACATAAATATCTTACTCTCATATACAATTATCATGTGCCTAGACCTAGAAAATTTCACATACCCTCATATCTTAATAAATACAAGGGAACTAAAAAGGAAATCACGCAATTAAAATTATTAGATTTTAAATATAATGATATATAAATATAGACTATTAAAATTATTCGATTTCATTTAAAGATAGGAAAATCCTGATAACTGTTTTCTGAATAAATAAAAGCTTGCAAATGTGACTATAGAAGTCTTTCTGACCAGGAATAATTTAGACAGAAAACATGGACTTATTATTGCTAGATAAATCTGCTTCTAAAAATGGGATTACCCAGCAATCTCAAATGAAATAGGATAAAACTATTTGTTTCTCCATTAAGTAAAGCTTAGGTGTGCACCAATTATCCATTAATGGTTAGATCCTGATTTCACAGAAGGAAAATTTTACACCACCATCCCTCAGAAAAGGTCTATTGGTATCACCATCAAATTCTAAAATGCTGGTCCAATATAACATTTCTCAGTTCCTTAAAAATATTAGGAACTGTATAGAGAAAAAAGAAAAAGAAGAAGAAATTATAATTTTTTAGAAAGTCAAAAGCCGATATTTAGGGAAAATAATAGGTCGCCTGGGTGGCACAGTTGGTCAAAGCATCCAACTCTTAATTTCAGCTCAGGTTACGATCTCACAGTTCATGAATTCGAGCCCCGTGTTAGGCTCTCCACTGACAGCACAGAACCTGCTTGGGATTCTTTCTCCCTCTCTCTCTCTGCCCCTCCTCCACTCATGCTCTCTCAAAAATAAATATTCTAAGAACATAATATTAATAAAAAACTATTTTGCAAATATAGTTCAAAACAAGAGTTTCTGATTTGAATGGTACAACTCATCAGCTCTAAAATCCTTAAGACTTGGGGTACCTGGGTGGCTTAGTTGGTTGAGTGTCTGACTTTGACTCAGGTCATGATCTCACAGTTCGTGCGTTTGAGCCCCAAGTAAGGCTTGCAGCTGTCAGGCTACCAGCACAGCGCCCGCTTCCGATTCTCTGTCTCCTTCTAACCCTCCCTCACTGGCACTCTCTCAAAAATAAACATACATTAAACAAAAAAAAAAAAAAAAAAAAAGGATTCTATCTCCCTCAGTTTTGCTTTATCCTACACAAATTTGTATGAATAGGTCCTTTTATAAAAAACAACTTAAAAAAACACTTTAAGACTTATTTTGTAAGCTGAAATGACTGACATGTAAGTCCATGTTAAGAAAAAAAAGTGGCTTCTTAAAGCTTCTCTTCTTCTGGGGGGAGCCTAAGTGGCTCAGTTGGTTAAGCATCCAACTTATGCTCAGGTCTGTGAGTTTGAGTCTCGCATCAGGCTCTCTACTGTCAGTGCAAAGCCTGCTTGGGATTCTTTCTCTCAGTCTCTCTGCCCCTCCCCTGCTCACTCACTCTTTCCTCAAAAATAAATAAAAAGGTTTAATAAATAAAATATTTTTAAGAAGCTCTTCTTTTTGGATTTTTCTATACTGAGAAAATTCTTAATTGGAAGAAAAATATCTCTACAGGTTAATTTTGAAATAGAATCTGATAAACTACTAAATACCAATCAAAATGAAAAAAGTCAATGCCAAGACTGTAATAACCTTTCCTTTCTGCTCTATCCTCCAATCCCCTAGTCAATTTATCTGTCATATTTTCTACATTATATATTGCTTTTTCTCCTTTGGTATAGTAAGTAATAACAGAAGTAGGAAGATTTTGACCTTCTTGAACTGGCTCCCCCAAAACAATGTCCTAATATTTAAAACTAAAGCATTAAGTGGAAATGAGACAAATAATGACTAAGCAGATACTTCTAAGTTCAATTTTATAAAATGTAGATTTTATAATTCCACCAATAACTTATTCAATAAAAATGAAGATGTCACATATTTAAACTTCTCTCTCCAAGGCTCACAGTTCTGACTAAATTTCACAGAACTACATTTGAGATACTACAGAGATATAGTATAGATTACTATAATTGGATCTGGTAGACTCAGTTTTAAGATACATTAACAATTACAAAAATATAGCTCCTAAACAGTCATTTCTCAACAGCAAAATATTTAATGAAATCTAAATTGTCATAGAGAAGATGGGAATTCTACCCTCCTAAATCAGGGAAAAGAAAAAACCCAAATATGATTTCTTAAGTCTTTCCAACAAGCGTTAAGGGCTTTTAAAAAATATTGTACTGTACAATACAGACTCATTCCTATTGACTTTTCAGAATGTCACTAATTACCTATATCAACACAGAATTAGGTAAGATAGATGTAAGAACGTTCATGGCAGTATAGGAAAACTGGCAGTCCAAAAAGGGACATAATATACTAGAACATGTCTACTACATTACTGACATAACCAGGTTGTCACAGTGTTTTAATGAAAATGCAAATAATGTAATCTTGCCCTACATGAATATATCTTGTTTTATATGTGGCCAAAAGAGAAACATAACTGAAGCAATTTGTAGAAAAGGCTACAAAAGGTAATTAAAACAGACTAGACAAAGAAAAGAAAGCAAGCAGGCAGGAAGGAAGAGGGAAGGTAGGGGAAGAATGGCAAGAAAGAACAAGAGTAAGCCCAACTACAGTGGATCACCGTTATTAGATTTCTTAATGGCACTGACAGATTCTGAGTTCTCACCTGTGGGCTATGACACCTATGTTTCTCATATGTCCAAACAAGTGTTCAAATTTCATAAATATATCTAAACTATGAGCTATGAATATTATAAGCACACCCTTAAAATCAAACATAAAAAGAGAAATTAGCTTCACTAACATAATGGAATACGCTACTATGTAACAGTAGTATATAACAGGTGTTGCTAAAAAATAGCTTGATATTTGATTTTTATTATTCTAAAATTTTTCATTTACAGAATATCTTTAGTTTTAAGTAAATACCAAAGACTGGCCAATTAAAAAAATATATTGTGGCAAAAAAATGGTTTATGTTTTTTTTTTAAGCTCAAGAACACAAATTCCATGTAAACATTTCTCAATATTATCTAGTATTTTATAGGCAAATAATTTACAAAATACCTTCTAATATATTATCTTAATATGATCTAGAATCTTGATATTTAACATGCCTATCTTTAATTCTTTATTTAACCACTGGAAACGGTTTTATACTTCTAAAAGTAGGGAAATTAAAATTGAACTTGATTTTACTGTCAACAAAATACTTTATCATTTGGCAGAAGTCATCATTAGTGACAAAGTATTGCATAAGTTAACTCCAGTGACAAATTACTGAAAGTCTTAAAAATGTAAATACATTACAAGACAATGGTGGACATATGATTTCACATAAACAAAAAGAATAGCTAATATGATTGTACCCAGCACCCTCTTTATAATACCATTCTTTTATGGTTGAGCATTTCAAATGTTATAAAGAGGAGTTATTTGTAACTTGAGGGCAGCTATACTTAATTCTGTGGTCTTTTTAAACTACATATTTATAGGAGAGAGCCTTATAATGAGGGTGGAGAGTATTAAAAGCCACACTACACACACAATAGGCCATCATGCATTTTAACCCATTATTAAACTTACCCCTCTTTTGAGACTTCTGAAAGAAGGAATTCTGGGCTTCCCTGTTTTTATTTCATTCATACAATAATGCACGGGCTCAATGGAGAATGTGAGAAACTGGGACCCATTAGGAGTACTGGATGTGAATAAACTAGTAGGGGTTAAGGGTGGGGACTGTGGCTAATATGGAAATAAAGAAAGGAATCAATAAGCCAAATGTGCATAGTTTCTCCTAAATGAAAAATTCTATTTTTGGCAACATACTTTTCACAAAATAAATCTCAAAGTTTTCTATAAAAATGTTATAAGAAAGTTAACATAGTTTTGCCAAAACTGTCATTTAAAAAAGTCAAACTTACTTTTAAAAATGTACCATTTGATCACTTTTACAAAATGACATTAAAAATATAGACTACACAAATTATAATGTCAGAAAGCAATAGGACCTACATAAAAAAAAAAATCTCTTCTAATTTCTAGAAGTATAACCTAACAGGTTATACTTAATCTGCACTTGTCAGAGATAAAAGCAGCAGCTACAGGTAAAATTATCTAAATAGATAATATATATTAAAATTGCAACTAATTATTATTACAAAGAGGCAAAAGATTTTCATTACATTTGTGGTTTTTCTCTCAGACTGTTCCTATTTCATCTTCATCGCACCCAATTTTTCAAGAAAAACTTCAGCAGTACTAGTATTTCTAAGTTTTCCTACCTACTCTGATTCAACTTAAAAAAAAAAAAAAAAGTCTCACCTCTCAACTTCTCGCCTGGAAAATATTATTAAAAGCATGAATAATGCTTGAGTTAATTATAAGTGTACTTTTGAAGAGATGGGTATATTATGAGTTAAATTTATCTACATTTTTATGTCTAGATCAAAAAAAAATCAATTAAAGTCACCTATACTTTAATAAATAGAGCATATCAGATTAAAAGTACGTATCTATTCTCATACTGTATAGACACTATTATAATCACTAAATTGGTCAGATTAAGCACTCATCTATTCCATTTGCTCATGCTGCTGAGCTAGATTTATCTAACACATATAGCACATCAAAAAATGGGTTCCAACAAGAAGTTAAGAGTGAGATTCTCTTAGTAATAAACTGGAGATTTTTAAACTTCAAATAACCACAAACATTGGGCCCCTCCCATTAAATATTCACATGGATGATAAAAATAACTTTATTAGTACAATCTATAAGACCTAATGTGACATTTATCACTGCTATAGTCAATCATTCACTCTAACAGAGAACTGCAATTTTGGTGGTCTTATAGTTAGATCACGTTTCCTTGGAAATTCTGATTGAAACTGCATACAAGTGAAATTTCAAAAGCATATAATTCAAGAGATATTAACAACTATTTAATATTTTTACTCATTAAGTGGCAGTCAAATGTTAAATCCAGAAATAATTTTTACTATTAAGATACAAAACTATGTTTCTAATAAGTGAAAAGTTAACTGAATCATTCAAATAAAAATACTTATTTTCTATTAATAGTAAGCCATTATCCACTCAACACCTACATTGATTTAAATGATACACTAAAGTAAAATTATCAGCATACAGGAATTTCATGACTTTTACCTTTGGCTTCTTTCCAAAGAGCCACAACTTGCCCTTGGCCTTTCCTACTGTGGTTTTGGCATCCATCTTCCCACTTTCCTGTTTGGATGCACTGATAGTCCCATCAGAAATGGTTCTATAAATATGTTGACTGTAATCTTCAAATGGAAAGTCTCCTGGAGGTTCAAATCCAGACTTAAAGGAGTCTACTACCATTTGAGAGTCCTACACATAAGAAACATGTTTTTAAAATCATTTCATTTATTTTTAATACTGTTAGCTTTTAAAACTTGACTCAAGAAAATAACCAACAAAAATTTAAAGGAAATAATTCTACAGTCATCATTAAAGGTTAAAGTGAATAATTTCTTCTGGTGGATTAGTAATAAACCTTAAATATTTTAACCCCAATAAAATAGTAATTTATAATCAAATTAATTTTATTAATTTGTAATATTCATGAAATGTTTTCATTCCACGGCTTTAACCCACTGAAATTCATCTAAGGACAAGTCAGCTGATAAGAAAGATCTGACAAAAGGAATACAGTAAGAGATTATTCTTAAATAGAAATTCTAAGAAGTTTCAAAAGAAAACATTTTTTGCTTTATAGGATATCTACCAAAAGTTGATCTTTGAAACAGGGGAAAAGGCATCTATGTAAGAGTAAGAGACAGGTAGAAAGGTTTTCATGCATCCAATAGGGGAAAAGATAAACAACACATATTAAAGACATAGTTGGGAATGTTAACCGAGCAATGGAGAAAGATCTCCATTAAATAAAAAAGCAACTTTAAAAATATAAAGTTCATTACCATTTCCCTAAAACTTTAAAACTCACATAATTATACTATATGTTGTCTTTGGACATACATACCACTATACAGATGTTCTTCTGACACCTTAAACTCATTTTCAAACAGAATACTTTATCTCTTACAAACTCCTCCTGACCCCTGACCACTTCTCTTTTATTCCCTATTCTGCCACTTGTAGATTTTGCCTGTCATCTAGTCAAAAGTTATCCATTAAATCACACCTTAGTTTCATCATTAACACCACCCCACCAATCACTTGCTAAAGGATAAGAAGAATCAGTGAGAAGGGACCTAACTACATTTATAACCTTGCAACCAGCCATTTTGAAATATAAATGCCCCTCTGATTTCCCAATTAAGAACCCTAAAATCCTTTTATTTTTAAAACTCAAGTCAGAATTATATTTGTTATAGGAAGGATCCTCATTAATATAATACCAACTTGCTATGAAGACTAAAATATGTAGTACATATTTAGCACTCCCCAAACACTTGTTCTCTTCTCTTGCTTCTTCCTCATAACCTGAATTTCTGCCAACCATCCTTTCTGGTCACTGAATCAACATTTACTGAGAAATGACTAGGTACAAGAGTCTTGCTAGACCTTAACTAAGACAGAAGGTTACTGAATATACTTTCTCAAGGGGAGCAGGGCTATGCTGTTCCGTCTGCTCCCCTTCCTTTTTGCCATGGCCCATTACCCCATACATTACTGACGCTTCAAGTGCCAACTCTTGTATTAAAAGCAATTCTTACAATAACTTTAGATCTACTTCTTTCTCTAAACATTTACTAGAGTAAGAGTATAACACAGTTTGTAACCTACAGTCCACAGGTTATGTTATACTCTTGGAGAAGAATTGAAAATTTAGTGAGCAGAAAAGAAAGAATTAAAACTTTTTTTTTTCAAAACAAATAGAATTTTAGTGTTCAGAACAGTCTTTAAAGCCCAAAAGAGTCCCATCTATTGCCAGACTTCTACAGAATATAAAGTATAATCAGCTACCCATCAATTACTTCACCCCCTTCCCAATTCGTTTCACCAACTCCAACTGCATATGCAAACTAAATACGTTTATCAAATATAATTATATAGCACTTACTCTTCTTTCATCAACTGATTTTGCGGCGAGAATCATTCCTTCCAAACACTTTGAAATGATAGGAATAACTTTGCGTTCTGAGTCTGCAAATCCTCTGTAACACTCACTGAGTTTAATAGTCCTTCGTTCATCCATTTCTTGTAGTTGCTAATAATCAGAATTTTTTTTAAAAAAGGGAATATTGAATTTTCTTTTCATTCTGAAGCAACCCCCTCCCCAAATTAGGATTCTACACTAACAGTCACACTGTTGTGAATATCTTATCAAGAGTCTTAACAATACTTAAAACCTGAGACTTGTTAAATAACACAAGGGAAAAAAAATCCAGTCTTTCAGCACATCCTAAACCAGGTAACACTGGTTTTCAAGTATTCTGAAGAGACCCCCTAACAAGCTACCAGCTCCCTACCTCATACCACCTCCACCTTCTCATTCTTCAGTCAGAGCAGTTGTCTATGCTTCCAGGGAAAGCTGCACTTGAAAACAGAATTTTGATGTGTTGGTTTTTTTCTTTCTTTTTAAGCAACTGGCCTGTAACATATATAAGTCTGAGAGTTCTAAGTCCTTAAATTAGTTCAGACTACTTTGGTAAGATCTCGCTGGACTAAGGATCCATAGTTGACCGAATACCAACAGGTACTCAGACCTACCAGTCAGTCAGTCTACAGCTCAGTAACTATCAAAGGATTGGGGGTACAAGATAAAAAGCAGGAAGCCAGAAGGTGAAAATGGTACATACAATGGAATCCCCAAAATTCAAAAATTTAATGGCACGTGCCACTAAGAATTATGCTATGACAAGTGAAGCCAAATAACTTATAAGCATTTTTGACACTTAATATTTGCCGACACTACTAACCTTTTTCTCCTAGGAAACAGCTACCCTGTTCAAGTCCCCAAACTCCCACAGTTTTTCCTCCCTAATTAAAGCTTGTGGATTTATTTTGATACCCACATTTTCACAGAGGAACTGCTCCCAGCATTACAAAATGGCAAGACTGGGGGCACCTGGGTGGCTCAGTTAGTTAAGTGTCTGACTCTGGCTCAGGTCATAATCTTGCAGTTCACGAGTTCTAGCCCTGTGTCGGGCCCTGCGCTGACAGCTCAGAGCATGGAGCCTGCTTCAGATTCTGTGTCTCCCCCTCCCCCACTCATGCTCTGTCTCTCTCTCAAAAATAAATAAAACATTAAAAAAAAAAATCCAAAATGGCAAGACTGATCAATAGCAAGGCCCAAACAAAAGGATTAAGCCCAAAACACAGTTTGGGTCTCCCCAGAACATAAAGGCTTAGCTGAAGAGCCTAGAAAAGCACCACTGAGTGGTGACTAGATGCTCTGGATTAAATGACTGGAGTATGATACCCACTCTAAGCCTCCACCTGTAACTATGCTTCCTTTGTACTGCTAATTTGCCTTACAAAGAAAAAGAAAATATATTTAGGCTGACAACTCTTTCCATATAAGCTCTGTTCTCCCAGATAGATACTACATTCAACACTGTTTCATTTAATCCCTTCACTCCAATTTCTCTTCTTTCTAGAATAAGCAGTAACATAATTTAACCCTCATATAAATTCTGGGTCTTTATCTCAGGCTGTTTGGCAGCTGTTTATCATCAAGTGATGACGGATGGAATTTGTAAGCAAGCTCATGGCCTGAATTACATTTATGATCTGGCAGCTAGGAAGACAAGCAGGCAAAAAACCAAACTAGCAAATACATTTCCTAAGATTTATTTCTGCCACCTGGCCTACTGCTAGTAACTCTAGTGTCAAAAAACTACATCCCAATTCTAGTCAAGCAGCTTACCAAGAACAATTCCAATGAATTTCCCCTATGTTCTAATACTCAATGATACAATATTAAAATGTATCTAAAAGTTGTCATTGTTTTTGTGGACTGTTTATTACACTAATAACATTTCTGTAGGAAAATTTCTGATTTCAAAGTTAGGAAAAATTTACTTTTCAAATCTATAATCATAAAAGAAGTTCTTATCAGATACTAGACCCGATGAGTAGCGAGTCTAGAAACATCCTGGCTGATGTGTCAATTTTAAGTTTTCCGTATAAAGACTAGCTCTTCCAACTCTAAAACTAGATTGATTTCATATATCTAAACTTTACCTTGTAAATTTGAGGAATCACTACGTAGAAATGTTTGTGTTGTTCTCCATTAAAGTTTTGTAATTGTGCCGCATATTCATTTTTATTTTCATCAGCCATATGTGTACGCAGATTCAACTGCTGTTTGGCCTAGAGACAAAAATTATCAAAAAAAAAAAATTATACCTGCTTTGATACCTGATTCACTTTTCTACAAGTTATACTAAAAGTTAGACTTTTTCTATTAATATCATTTAAAATTTATGGAGATGTTTGCAGATCCTATGGATAGAGCACTCTCCTATTGCAACAATCTCTTTCTCTTTTTGCAATAGTCCTTCCCTTTGCAATAATCTGTTCAAATAAAGTTTCTTCTTACCAAATCCAGATTTTTAAAAATTAAATGAATGACAACCTCATGGCTTGACCTGAAACAGTATGCTTTTAACCAGAAGAGGAAAAACACCATAGAAATATTTTAGACAGTTAAAAAGTTAAGAGTAAAACATTTCTTAAAACATGATTCACTTATATGCAACTTAGAACCACAGTGAAACTAACGATTAAAAACATGATTTTTGGATAAGGTAATACTCAACAATGATTTCCATCTCTATAAAAGACCAGAGGTACTTTAAGGAATGATTATTTAGAATATAGTTCTATTCACCTCAAGCTCTCAGAGAAATGCTTTTTGAATGAGTCACGTTAACATCATCTACAATGGTAAGAACATTAGAATACTAACAACATAAAATCATTAATTCTAGATTTTTTGGAGGAGAATCTAAATAAATTTCTCAATTGCTCTAAAGTAATAAGAAAAAAAAAAAATAAGAAGTGAACTCCATTTTTCAGTGTCCCAAGGAATCAATCATGTTATATGAGAGTGCTTCAGAAATTGTAAAACACATTGTGAATACACTTGGAGTTGTTCTAATTCCATTTTCTATAAAATGTAGTCTCTAACCTTCTAACAGTAGGTCCGTAAGTTAGGTCTTCTGAACTCAGAAACAAACTTACCTATGGAAATACATAGTAGCCATGATACTAGAGAAACCCACAAAAATTGAGCAACTACTGACAAAAGTTTTTTAAAAAAGTGAAGAAGGAGCAAGCCTATTACTGATCTTTCTAAAGAAAGGGAAGGCAGTTGAGTAACAATATGAGTATACCATAACACTCCTGAACTGGTCACTTAAAAATGATTAAGATAGTCAACTTTATGTTAATGTGCCTTGTGTGTTTTACAACAATTTTTTTATTTTGATGTAATATTAAAAAATGAATTTAATCCACAGAGTACTTGAAGATTATAATACTTAAGTACTATGGAAACTAAATACCATAGGCCAAAGTTTTTCTACAGAAAAATAAATTTGAGTTCTGGGACCTTAAGTACACACATTCATTGACTACTTCTTCCTTTCTCCCTGCTCCCACAACCTACGATGGAATAGAGGATTCCAAGTTCTACCCTGCCCACAGTGGTCAGGAGAAAATAGCTCCTGTTCTAAGTTACTGGCTGTGATTCCTAAAGCCTAGGGCAAAGGTTCCCACAGGACATGTAGGAGTATATGGCTAGGAACTAGAACAACTGCAGCCCCCGCTCCCCTCTACCCTGTGGGCTTCATATTTAACATTACATTTTTTAAAAATTTTTAATTGTTGTAAAACACACAATACACATTAACATAAAATTGACCATCTTAATCATTTTTAAGTGACCAGTTTAGGAGTGTTATGGTATTCTCACAGTGTTATGCAACTGCCTTCCTTTTCTTTAGAAAGAGCTTGCTCCTTCTTCACTTTTTTTTTAAAACTTTTATCAGTAGATGCTCAATTGAAACTATGTTCCTTTCTCTTCCCATCACTTACAACAGAATTCCTCTACTCCACAGTTCCTCAAAGCAAATCCTCAAAGTCTTCCTAATTCTCTAATAAGCACAAGGTTGCAAACAAATGAGCATAAAAAAGAAAACTATAAACATTAATATTCTTAAGTTAGGCCACATGTTCTATCTAGATTTCAAGATGTCTTCTCTATAGATAAAATGAAACAAATGAGTTAAATGAGAGTCCCATTAGAGTTCCTTATCTTGCCTAGTACATACGCTATGTATTCCAGTCAATTTTTGATAATAAGTCAAAGGACTCTTAAGGAGTGTCAGCCAGCAAGCAAGTCTCCCATGTATAAAACTGTTTGCAACTGTTGTGGTCCACATTTTTGCCAAATAATAATAACGCGTTAGGTGTCTGACATAATACTAGGAAGGAAATGAATATATGGATGATCAAAATCAGGGTCCAAAAATCTTGACAGCAGAGTTAGTCTAATTATTGATACAGATGTACACATGCATTTAAAATACCAACAGTACAAGTTATGAGAAACATGTTCTCATATCACACCATATGTGTAAAGACATGGGATTAACCATAAACTCAATGGGGAGTCCATCCAAACAATGTAGTTGCCTAAAAAAAAAAAAAAAATCAATATACATTTAGGCCATAATTAACAAACTTGGTATTCAAAATGAGTGAGGTAATCAAACTCTGGACTGATCAGACCATTGTCTGCATTGTTACATCCAACTGGAAGTTAACATAATTCAAGTGGGATACTGACAAAGGAAAACAGTATCCAAGGAAAACAGTCATAATGAAAGGTGACTTGAAGCTATTTCCTCAGTAGAATAAAGAAACACAACGGTTCCAGGGGTAGAGAATCTGCTACCAATATCTAAAGAGGTATTATGCAAAAAATACAGAATACTTTTCCAATACCTCAAAGAAACTAAAACTAAACACAGCGATGAGTGGGATCAATAAAAGGAAATGCTAGAGTTGGAAAAATCAAAACAAGAACAAACTACCTTAAGACCGTGTATTTCCAAGGACAAGGAACTTACTATGATTAGAGGTATAAAGTCATTAAAAACAGGGTAGAAAAAATAAAACTCTCACAAGTTATACTAGAAGGACTTTGAATCAGTGATGAGTTCAGTTTTCCAAAATGAATGAATGAATGAATGCACAAAACAAAAACATAAATAGCTACCTAACATCACATTCTTCTGGCACTTTTATCTTGTTTTGCCTTGGGTCACGTTGGGGAAGCGTACTACCCAACCCCCATTAAACACCCATCAACATACCTTAGACTTCCTATTCTGTTTTGGAATAGGATAGAAACTCATTCTCAACAGAATCATCTTTCCTATGCATTCTGAATGCAGTTAAGACATGACAATAAAGTAACACAATCAGACTAACACGTGACTTGGAAGTACACAAATATTTGTATAGATTTTAGACGTAGTGTTTCTCTTGGGGAAATTTAATACCAATACAAATATTGTAATTACCATCCATATGCAAGTAATAATATTTTAATATCAAAGTTTGGATTATTTCTTACCTTTTCAACATCTGCCTTGGTTGCATTAGTATCATTATCCAATCTTTCATAACTCTGTTGTGCCTTTTCTGCCTCTCTACATTCTCTTTCAAATTTCTTTTTACTCTGTTTAAAGAATTAAAATATCACACTAAGAAATAAAAATCTCTCATTAACAAATAACTTTAAAATGTTGCCACTGTATATTGTATAGAATAACACACTAAAATTTTTCTAAAGCAGAAAAGAAATTTTAGTATTACAATCAATCCATGTGACTTAAATATCAGACATTATAGACTGTAAAGGAAAAATATCATAGGCATGACTGAGTTAATATTTATTATATACTTCAATTTTTGCTAATAAAAAAACACATGTATTTTGTAATTATTTACTATAAGCTTATCTTCAGTAGGACTTATTTTGGTTTGTGTGGTGTTTTGTGTTTGGTTTTATATGTTTATTTGGTTGGTTTTGGGGTTTGCTTGTTTTTATTTTTTGTGATGGGATACGGAAACGTCTCTCCAAAGTCATCTCATATGGTTTCTTCCAGGTATCTGAGGAATACCATTAGCGCAGAACTAGGCCTTTAAATTTTTTTATTTAATACAGATTACTATGACTTTGTAAAAGTTACTCACAATAGAGCCATGCAATATATACCATATTTCCTTTCTTGCATATTTTTAAATGTTTATATGAGAGAGAGACAGACAGACAGAGAGGGAAGGAGGGAGGGAGGGAGGGAGCGAATGAATGAATGTGGGAGGTGCAGAGAAATGGAGAGAGAATCTGAAGCAGGTTCCAGGCTCTGAGCTGTCAAAAACAAAACAAAAAAACTTTTTTTTATTCCTAGACTAAATTTGCTTAGTTTTCAAAATACTTTTTAACTAATTCAACTCTAGTTTACACAGTTCTTGAAAAATCTGTCCTCCTTTAATTCAAACATGCAGAATTCTGTCCATTTTATTTTCTTGATGAAATCTCTTCCAAAGGCTCTGACCTACTGAAATCTGAATTATTGAAATTTGGATTGGTTAGACCAAAGTGGACCTATTGCAAAGCTGTTACCCTGCAATTTCTACACCATTATCAGAGATTCCTTTTACCTCTCCTTTGATTTGAATCTCCTATTTCTCAATTCCACACCTTCCCCTTTCTTGGTTCATTTCCTTATTTAGCTAGAACACATTCAGCAGTAGCTTCCTAAAAGATCTGTGGGAGAGAAGCCTCCATGGCTGAAAATAACTTTACCATCACATTTAATTGATAAAATTTGACTGGGTATGAAACTGTTGCAAATTGTCTTTCTTCAGAAATGTGAAAGTGCTAACCTCTCCATTAATTTCTAGCTTCCTGCTCCCATTCTGATTACTGGTCCTTTGCATAAAACATGTTTGTTTTGGGAGCATTGGGTGGCTCAGTCACCCAGTCTCTTGTTGAATGACTCTTATTATGGCTCAGGTCATGATCTCAGTTTGTGAATCTGAGCCCCGCGGGCTCTGCACTGACAGCGCAGAGCCTGCTTGGGATTCTCCCTCCCTCTATCCCTTTCCCTCCTTTGCTCATGCTCTTTCTCTCTCAAAATAAATTTTTAAAAAATGTTTTGTTTTCCTTTCTGGAGACTGGTGGGATCTTCTCTCTCTTAACTGTTCTGAAATTTCATGAAGATATGTATTGCTGTGAGTCCACTGTGCTGGGCACCTAGAAACTCCTTGTGTCTTTCTGTTCTAGGAAATCCTGAATTATCCTTGTCTATCCAATTCCGATGTATTCTCTTTTTTAGAATGCTTACTATTTAAGATGAACTTATAGGATGACTCCTCTACTCATATTTTCAGTCTCTTGTCATTCTCCTTTACTTCAAGAGATTTCTTCAATTTCATTTTTTTCTAGTTAGTTTTCCATTTCTACTATCCTAATGTTCTTCTTTGTTTATGTGTTCCTTTTTTGATAGTATCCTTTCCTATCTCATAGATGTAATATCTTCTCTATTCCTTTTCAGAATATTAATAGTTGTGAATGTTTTGCTTGTTTTTGTGATTATCTATTTCCTTTCACAGTCACTGTTCCTTCAAAGTTGCTTTTTCCCCACTGCTTGTTACTTTTGGTCTCTGGTATTTACACAGTTGTTTTCTTGAAATGTCTGGGGGTCCTGGTCTATGTGTTCTTAAGAAAGCAGATGATGTCAACATTTTCTATTTACCTGACCCCCTTATTAGAACAAGTTACGATGTCAATTTCTTGTCTTAGGGAATACAAAATTATACAAAGAGGACAAATTTGGATTCCAAACCTCCTAACTACAAAGTCAAAGGTTTAAATTTTTCACAGAATACCTCTCCTCCTTTGACCTTCAGGTAGAGACAAATTTCTGTAATACCTCACTTGCCAGTAGGCAGAGTTCTTATAGTCCATGTTTTACTAAAAGATCAGTCCTTCGAAGGATCAAACCTTTATACAGGGTTATCAGTTGCAACTCTCTACAACATACAGAGCTAAAACATCATCTCTGTCCTGTGTATTAAAACTTAAGCCTTTAGCAAGGTCTAATATACCACCATTCCCCAACACCTCTGCTTCCATTCTTCAAATGCCACTGTATCAGCTCATACATACACTGACTGCTCTGCTTTCTAGTTTACCCTTAGTTTTTAGCAGTTATAGATTTCCCTTTCAGCTCTAAGAACTTAAAACACAATAAAAAGTATTTTAGTGATTATGATCTAGGTATTTGTAGCCAAGAGGTTTCTGCATTAGCACCGATTGCCATATGGCTAGAACCAGACATATCTGTACAATTTACATCAAAAAAATGTGCTCATAAAATTTTATAAAATTCTTTAAATTTACTATTTTTATTAGTATAAAACATCAAATGACACACGTACAATTACTCGAAGCACATAAATATATGTGAATGCACCTTACATACACAATGTGACTTTCCTATGAAGATCAAGATTAAATGTCCATATTAAAAATAAACTTCCATCCTTTACTTCTCTGAAACTCAGTTCAGAATGGTATTCTCAAATTGAATACTACAGGCTACTAATTATGTTGCAACTTGAAGCTATTTATACACAAAAGTACTTTTATATTAGGGGTCTTATTATTTGTGAAGTAAAACTTAGCTACTGACTTCCTTGCAACAGCAAAAGAATCACTAGTACAATAATATTAAAAATACTTCTAGTACAGTAATATTAAAAACACTCCTTCCCTGAAATGTATATCACTATATAATATAGGAAAACATTCCAGAAAAGACTCTCCTTCCTTCATCCTTTATGTGGTAGACTAATCAACAGCCACTTCAACTTCCCCAACCTTTCTTAGAAAAGCCCACTTCTCAGCGTAGCTGAAAATGGCTGATCCTTGCTTTACTAGCCTCCCCACATCTGGAGCATGGACAAGTAATCTCGTCCTGTCAAAGGCAACCATTAGGAAGTCTGCTGGGGATTTTCTGAAAGTTTTCCTTTCTCAATAAAAAGGAACAGTGAGAAGAGAAATGCCCTCTTTTTTCCTGTTTCTGCATGCAACTGAATGAGGATGTGGTGCTTGGCTGCTTTAGTCGACTGTTGACCGAAAGGGGACAAGCCTGTGGAAAAATGCCAACATGGTCAAGATGGCAAAGTAGACACAGAAAGCAGAAGTAGCCAGCAGAAGTAGCCTTAGTGACATCATTGAGCTAAAGACCAACTCTGGAACTGCTCCATTTCTGAGCCCTGTTCGTATAAATTTGCATGCTCTGTTACCTGAGCCACTAACTGACAGACCTGGCAATATCTATGTTTTTCATGTTAATCTCTCAACATGCCTTCAAAATTTTCTTTGCAAGCTATTCTCTTCTGTTCTCCATCTTTAATGCCAGGGTGGCCTATTTTCATTATCCTGTGGTTCATAACTGTCTTTTAAACTATCTTCCTCAATTTTCAATACTCTGTCACTAATTCAGCCTATTTCTCCCAGTTCTTTAAATCTCCTCTCAACTATTTCAAAAACGTTAGGAATTTTACAACTTCATTTTCTTGATTAAACAAGAAGATAGATAAGAAATGGGATCCTACACATATTTTGACATATTCCACAGACATTATGTTTGTCAGTCTCCCTCACCAGACTAGTCTCCACAAAAACAAGGACTATGTCACTAATCACTTTTTTTCACTATTCACTTTTGTATCAGGACTCAGTACATGTCAAGAATGCCTTCAATAAATGAGTTGAGCTGAACTCACTTTTAATGGTATTGTTAATTAACACCTTAAAGAAATCACTCCCACATTTTTTTGATGCTTCTTTCTTGTGACCCCTATAACTTTTGCTTATTAACTGCCAATTGCTCTAAAGGCAAGTCAGCATATATAACAAGAATAATTTGTGCCAACACAAGTTTTTAAAGGGACCAGTGACTCAAAAGTGTAGGAGTCTGTTATTATGTGCAAATGAAAACACACATACATACATACTCATTAGGTGCAGACACTAAGAATGCTAGTTAAGGTAATTTAAAATTTAATAAATGTAAACACTCCCTAAAAGTCTTGTTAAAACCAATTAGAATGAAAATGAAAACAAAAATGAAAGAGGCTACTAATATAACTAAGAATTCTCAATCACCACTGGTGCCTAGAATCTTACATTTATATGATTTATAAATGACATTTATACAGTAGAAATTTAATCTAAGCTTTGAATATGTGGTTTTTTAAAAAAATATTTATTGAGAGATGTGTGCACATAGGGAAGGGGCAAGGAGGGGCAAGGAGAGACATAGAGAGACAGAGACTCTTAAGCAGGCTGACAGCACAGAGCCCGATGCAGGGCTCAGTTCCACAACTGTGAGTTCATGACCTGAGCTGAAATCAATAGTAAAATGCTTACCAGAAAGAACCACACAGGTGCCCCTAAATATGTGGTTTTAAAAAAAGAAGAAATGGCCAAAAACACACACACAATGTTTTTTCATCTCAAACTTAAAAGTCCTTTTCCCAACAACTGCAAACTAAATTGATTAATTTAACATGAAAAACTCCCTTTAGCATAATTTTCAAGGAATACACTGTCCATAATAAAAATATTCAAGTAAAAAATTCAAGACATCTTGTTTTTCAAATGACTGTATGCCAGAATATCCACGAAAAACCACATTAGCAAGAACCCTTGGAAAGTTTTTATAGTAAATAATTATTACACTTTGATAATTTTATCTATAAATACTATCAAGTATTTTCTTTCCTATAATTTGAATGGTCTATGACCAGGAATCCAGTACTAGGAACATTTACATTAAAGAATCACTAAAGTGGAAGAATTCTCAATCAGCCACTATCATCACAAATCTAGTCCACTATCTTCATTTTTCATAAGCTAAGGATGAAATCATGAGAAATCATATGAGGTACAACTAGAATCTAAGTCCTCTGCTCTGTCAAATGGTCTTCTATGATACATCACTATTAATATCCCCATTACTCCTACCCTGTATCAGTAGTTTATAGTAACCACTTCAAAGTCAGAAAGTGTCTTCCTAAACATTTACAGTTATATGAAGATTACAGAGTTGGTACAAGTATAGAACCATATGGGAAAAAAAGATAACAAACTGCACATTCTCTATACCAATGTCAAAAATGAATAAATACATCAAGAAATATTCAACTCAATAGTGTGAAGCATCGGAGAATTTAGGGCTAAACTAGTCTATAAAATGTTATGTTAAGCATAAAGACACTATAACTCACATTATCCATCTGTTTCCAGCACATATCAAGATACTGTTGAGCTTTTCGTCCTTCTTGAAGATGCTGAAGATCAGAACCAAAAAAAGAAAACAAAAAAACAAAAACAAAACCACACACAAATAAAACAAACAAAAAATTACATTAAATACTAAAAGTCTTGAAACCCTCCAAAAAGCTTTCACTTAATTTTTTTAAGGTACTAATTATATAACTTTAGCAAGACTTAGGAAGAGATTATTAGTAAAGCAAAACTTTAAATGCATTTTATAGGTATTATCTGAATACTTTAAGTATAACCTTTAAAACAGATATATGATACATGACTTGTTTTGATTAGGGGTTGACAAATGTTTTCTATAAAAGGTCAGATATATATCTTGGGTTTTGTAAGCCATGTGGTCTTTGTTAGAAATATTCAACTTTTCTGAAATAACTGAAAGCAGCCCCAGGCAATGCGTAAGTGAATGAGTACGGGTCTGTTTCAATAAAACTTTATTTATAGTCTATGAAATTTGAATTTCATACAATTTTCACATACTATGAAATACTCTTTTGATTTTCTTTTCACTATCCAAAATGTACCAACCATTCTTAGCTCATGGGAACTAAGAAAAACAGGCAGTAAGCTAAATTTGGCCCATGGGCTGTAGGTTATCAAATCTTGGTCTTAAATCCAAAAAGATTACAAATTAGCAAGAATATCTTAAGATAATTTTGGCTAGAGGAAACTGAGTGAAACAAAACCAGTTTATACCGATTACTTTGAAAAGCAAAGTCATTATGTGAAAACATTTCATATACTATATAAATGGATGAAAACAATAATTACCATTTTTCTTTCAGTTTTCAGATCATGAGCATATCTCATTAATTCACCATAAACTCTGTGCGCCATTTCTTCTGCTACTACTTCTCGCTGTCCTGCATAGTCATTTAACTCGTTAAGGATGTTAAAAAAGGCTATACACGAGGTAAACCTGACAAAAACATATTAAAAATAGTGAAATTTACTTTTATTTTCTTTACAAATATTTTTTGTGAGGTATGGATTGAGCCTGACACTTGACAAACTTTAACATACTCAACCTAACTCTTCGCTACTAGCTCCAAATCAACTTTGTATGAAAAGAATCCCACAATAAACTCAAGTTGTATATGTTTGTATACCTTCAAGTAGTCTTAATTTATAAATAAAGGGATATATGGGGTCAAAAAATAATAAGAATACTACCTGCAGGCTCTTTTGGCATACTGGAATCTCTTAAGTAGCCAAGTGACTGGCCTGAGCTGGGGAATGAACTTGGTTGGATTCCTAGGATTGGCAGCTGAACCTGGTGCAGAGATGATGTGCTTGCTCTCGAGGACAGAACCTGCCAATCATACCACTCAAATGCATCTCGATGGCTGATCTACAGAACAATTTTGCTATCAGCTCTGGACACAGCTGCTTGTATGCCTGCCCACATCCTGAATGGAAGTAAAGTGCCATTATAGTTGGCACCAAAAGAGGGTAAGAAGGGGCAAAAATAAGGGTAAAAAATGTGTGTGGAGGGAAGGAGAGAAACAAAGAGAATTGCTGTATTAAAATGTATAGATCTACTCTGAATACAGTGCCAGAACACTCTTTTGGCTCAAGGCAAATAGCTCAGATAGGACTCCATTAACATTAAACCTAAGAATCCGAACAATTAACAGTTATATAGAAAGCTGTTTTAAGTCTAGTCTCTTTGTTTCTGCATTTCAGAGCCATTCCACATATCCTTGTCTGAGACCAAAAAGCTCATAAGCAATTCCTGAACTTTTATTCAGAGTTCCAAGATTATCCCAAAAACCTCATTCCTTTCATTACCCCTTTAAACCAATCAGGCAAACTATCTTAATACCTCTAAGAGTAAAAGCAATAAATCTAATCAGCTAACAATTACAGAATCAAGTATGGGAAAAATACAAAAGACTAAATGACTCAAGTGAAGTCCCAGTCCACATTTTGCTTGGAAACCTATACTTCAATAATTTTAGAAAACTAAAATTTAATTCATTAAATTTAAATTTAACTGAAATATTCATTCCTATTAGAATAAACAGTAGTTACTTCTTAAATTAAAAAACTGTGATTTTTTTAATTAAAACTTTAAAAAATCATTATAAAAGGTTAACAGTGTATTTTTTACTAAATAACACAAGTATTAGTTTTTAAATTTTAATATGCAATAATAAAAAGGTGTAGAATTTACCTTGGCTCTTCATCTTTGGAGGAACGTTTAGGACAGTACTTCTTAACCAGATTTCTATAGGAAGAAAAAAATTTTTTTAATGTATAAAAAAATACTACTGTTGAAATTGAAATATTCTGTAAGGTGCCTATTTCATGATATCAAGAATTTAATGATATAAAACAACACAGCAATATAATCATCTACTACCATTAACATGATATGATCCCTACATTTTGTCCTGGAAATACTGATATCTGTAAAAAGAAATGTTATTTCTGTTTTTGTATGAGTGGAATCATAATAATTTGGATGATTATGGTACAAAATAAGCAGAAGAGGATGAAGAGAAGAAACAAAAGTACCAAGAACAGAAGGAACAAAGTACTCAGTGTTATGAAACTGAGTCACCGCAAAGACATGCATTTCAAAGACATACCGTCACTATTTTGTTTTGCAAATCAGGTATTTTCATATGAACTAAGATAACATGTAAACAGACGCTGATTCACTAATAGAATAAAAGAACAGTTGGATCAGTATCCTCCATAATTCTACTTTTATATAAACATCATTATGGGACCCTACACATTCTCTTTTTTTAAGGCAAATTAATTACATTTATACTGTAACTTTCTTTGTGTGCATCTATGTCCATTCCAGTCTCAGACTAAAATGCTACCTCATTTCATCTTTGCAAACTCCGAAGAAGACTGGAACATGGACTCTGAAATCAGACTGTACTACCTGGGTTTGAATCCTGGCTCTTTTGTGTGGCATCTATGTGTCCTTGGATAATTCACTTGTCCAGTTTCCTATCAATAGTGGTAATAGTACCTACACCCCCATAGGGTTATGAAAATTAAAGTCGATAATATTTGTAATGCATTTAACACGGTGCTTTATACAAGTCTCAAAATGTGGTTCATGGACAAAAAAGCTCCACAGACTGTCACTAATCCACAAAAAAGCTAAGTACAGAAGTTGAGAGTAATTTTATGTCTAATGAATCCAATTAATAAAAAAATTGGTGCCTATATTTTATATGTCTATTTTTATGACTTTTTTCCTAGCATTAAGTTTTATTGGATTTTATAAAAGCAACAGTACACAATGAATTGGAAACTCAAAAAGAAACTAGTCTATCAACACAAATACGAGATATACTACTTTAAACTATAGGCATTTAAAAAATAAACAGCTCTATGGCCTTTCAAATAAATACTTCAAAAGAATCACTGTCCTAATTATTCTCAAATCATTATCAATTAATTCCATTTAAATTCAGCCTATTCATTCTATAATTATCCTCTATAGGCTAGGAACTGTGCAAGCTACCAGGAACATTAGAAATGAGAGAGTGTTCACACTCAAGATTTACACTCTATTGAAAGGACAGAAGTACATACCAGTAACTACAACATACAACACAGTAAGTGCTATGATAAAGGTACGCAAAGGTGCTATGATACAAAAGAGAAGGTCTAAACACCCTGAAGAGTCGGGAGAGAGAACAGGCAAGACACTGAGGAGGGTTACATTTACCAAGTTAATTAAAAAACTCATAGTCATCACTGGCTGTAAATAAGGTACAGGAAGGATGAGAGCCTCAGGCCTTACATTTATATACTTGTTTACCAAAAGTTTAATAGAATAGAGGGGAAGAGGTGCTTAAGAGGCTCAATCAGTTGAGTGTCTGACTTCAGCTCAAGTCATGATCTCACAGTTCCCAAGTTCGAGCTCTGCATTAGGCTCTGTGCTGACAGCTCAGAGCCTGGAGCCTGCTTCAGATTTTGTCTCCCTCTCTCTCTGCCCCCCCCCCACCCCCTCCTTCCCCTCTTCAACCTCTAAACATTAAAAAAAAAAAAAAAAAAAAAAAAAAAAAGGAGGGAGGGAGGCAGGCGGGCGGGTGGGCAGGCAGGCAAGATGTAAGAAAAGAAAGATCCTGAGCTTTTCTCTTCCATAACACTCAAGGCTCCAAGTAAATACAGTGTAACAACTCACTCTGGGAACAACCTGAAGACTAGCAGAACACCTATTCTACAATTAAAGATATACAGAGAAAGCCCATCAAAAAAGGGTAGAAGAGGCAGAGACATAGTCAGGAACCTAAACTCCATCATGGCAGCCCACAAGTGGGAGAGATATTACAGGTGCAGAGGTCTTCCCTAAGGAGGCAAGAGATGAAGCCCCACATAAAGTACCCTCCCACTCTGGGGATCTGCACAGGGAAAACAAGCTCCCATAACATCTGGCTTTGAAAATTTCCAGGACTTAACTGTGAGAGAGAGACACAGGTCTATAGGAAACTAAGACTCTGCTCTTCAAAAGCCACTGAATATCACTCACTGGGAGACCCAGCACAGAGGCAGTAGTTTGAAAAGTGCCTGGGCCACATGTGAAGGACATTTATGGGCTAATTTTAGGAAGTATGCAGAAGAGCAGGTATCTGTAGGAAATTTCTCCAGGAATGAAAGTGATGGCAGGTGCCATTTTTCTTGCGTTCAGTCAGCCTACTTGGCCCTATGCCAGGGGGCACTAGTTCTGAAACTTTCCCATCTACTTTGGTAGCACTGTTCACCCAGCCCAGCATCCCCCTGCAGACCTATCCTATTCAACCTATGTGCTCCAGCAGGTACCCCTCCAAAGCAGATTCTGCCCTGGGAAGGGGTGGGTTCCGGGCACCCAGCTCCACACCTCTGAGAATACCTGCAACAGTCACAGGGTGTCTGGCAGCCAGTTATACCAGGTGCTAACCCACCACCATCACACTCACAACAGGCCTCTCAGCCAGCACGCTGTGGCCCCAGTCAGAACATGAGGGTGCACAGAGCCCACCTAGGGAATATCCCTGGAGTGCCTGGTTCTGGTGATGAAGGGAAATTGTACTACTCTGGCCCAAAGAACACCTTCTACATAAGGCCACTGCTTTCAAGACCAGGAGCCACAGGTGACTTATCTAATATATGGAAACCAAAAGAGAGACAAAATAAGAAAATAGAGGAATATGGTCCAAATAAAGAAAAAACAAAATCTCAGAAAAAGGAATAAATGAAACAGAAATAGGCAATCTACTAGATTAAGAATCCAAAATAATGATCATAAAGGTGCTCACCAGACTTGAGATAAGAATAGATGAATTCAGAATTTAAACAAAGAGTTAGAAAATATAAAAAAGAACCTATAAGAGCTGAAAAAAAATAAAAATGAAATGCTAGAGGAAGCAGAGAATTAATGAGCAATCTGTAAGACAGTAGTGGGAATCATCCACACTGAAAAGTAAAGGAATTTTTAAAGAATAGGTTAAAGGGACCTCTAGGCAACATCAAGCATACTAACATTTGCATTATGGGGGTCCCAGATGGAAAAGAGAAGAGGACAAAAAAATTTATCTAAAGAAATAATAGCTGAAAATTTCCCTAATTTGGAAAATAAAACAGATATCCAGGTCCAAGAAGGAAAGAAAGCCCCAAAGGAGATAAACCCAAAGAGGTCCACACCAAAGCGCTTAATAATGAAATGTCAAAAATTAAGGAGAGAATCTTAAAGCAGCAAGACAAAAGCAAATACTTTGTACACAGGAATAATCACTTAAGTCTATCAGCTGATTTTCAGCAGAAATTCTGCAAGTCACAAAGGAATAGCATGACATATTCCAAGAGCTGAAAGGAAAAGAACCTACAACCAAGAATGGTCTACATAGCAAGGTTATCATTCAGAAGTGAAAGAGAGATAGTTTCCCAGACAAGCAAAAGTTTAAAAAACTTCATCACCACTAAACTGACCTTACAAGAAGTGTTGAAGGGACTTAAGGCAGAAAAGGCCATAACTAGAAGAAACTTATGAAAGAAAAAATTTCACCAGTAAAAGCAAATACAAAGTATTTGTAAAGTAGTAGATCACTCATAAAACTAGTATGATGGTTAAGGACAAAAGCAGTAAAATCAATTTGGTTTACAATAATTAAGGGATACACAAAATAAAAAGATGTAAAATATACCATCAAATACATACAACAAAGGGAGGAGGAAAAATGTAGTGCTTTTAGAATGTGTTTGAACTTAAAGACCATCAATTTAAAATAGACTGCTATATACAGAGCATGTTATAGATGAGTCTCACGGCAACCACAAAACTAAAACCAGTAACAAATACACAAAAAAATAAAGAGAAAAGAACAGAAGCACAACACTAAAAAAAGTCATCAAATCACAAGGGAGAAAAGCAAAGATAAAAGAACCAAGAAGAACTATAAAAACAACTAGAAATCATTAACAAAACAGCAATCAGTATACATATTAATAACTATTTTAAATGTAAATAGTTAATGCTCCAGTCAAAAAATGTAAGTGCTCCAATCAAAAGATATTAGGTAACTGAAATGATAACAATAAAAAAACAAGATCCATCTATATGCTGCCTACAAGGGACTCACTTCAGACCTAAAGAAACATACAGACTGAAAGTAAAGGGATGGAAAAAGATACTCCAGGCAAATGGAAACAACAATAACAAAAGCTGAGACAGCAATACTTACATCAGACAAAACAGACTTTAAACAAAGATGGGTGTTACTGAATGACAGAAAGAACAGAATACATTCTTTTCAAGTACAAAAGGCACATGCTCCAGGATAAACATTTAGACCAAAAAACAAGTCTCAATAAATTTAAAAACACTGACATCATATCAAGCATCTTTTCTGACCACAACAGTATGAAAGTAGAAAACCAACCACAAGGAAAAAAAAAAACTGGAAAAAACACAAAAACACATGGAGGCTAAACAATATGCAAGTAAATAACCAATGAGTCGACAAAAAAAATCAAAGAAAAATAATAAAATATCAAGACTAACGAAAACGTGAACTCAACATTGAAAATCTTTGGGACACAGAAAAGGCAGTTCTAAGAAAGTTTACAGTGATACAAGACTTCCTCAAGAAATTTAAAAAAATCTCAAATAAACAATCTAACGTTATATCTAAAGGAACCAGAAAAAGAACAAACAAAACCCAAAATTAGCAGAGGGAGGAAACAGTAAAGATTACAGCAGAAATAAATGAAATAGAGACT